TGACATCATTTTGTTGAAATTGCTGATGATATACTGTAACAAAGAGATTACTAAGCACAAAATATAAGGATAGGAGTTTAGAAATATTGGTAAGTTGAGATCCTGAGATAATAGAGCTGTCCAAACAGAAATTACTCCTGATTATAATAGATTTTTGGGAAAAACTGTTCATTTAGAATTAATTTCTTTAGTAATAAAAGCATTCTGCAGGAAAAAATATATATACATAGAAAATCATGCAACTAGATATAGGCAATGATTAAGTTCAAACAGAGAAAAATAAAAAGGTAAATGACAGAACATTTAATTATAGTATACTATGAGGCTGTGCAGTAAACAATGTTAATATTCTCAATGAAATGCAACTATTTATCTAAAAATTTAGTATAAACTATATTGGCATGATGAGATAGAAGAGTGGTGAAAGTTGTGTTGGTGTAAGAGTTCCTCAGATGCAATGAGTTCTCAGGACATAATAGAACATGGATAGTAGGGAAAGCTTATATAGAACTTGAGGATAAGTAGCAGCAGGAGAAGGATTTAATGTATGTAAGAGTAGTGTCCTTGGGAAATGAGACTCTGAATAAAATAAAATAAATTATAAAATTCTGTGAGTTCAAATACCACATAGTTTATAGTTTCTGAGATTTGTGTTTGCTTAAAAAGGGCTTTTCTCAAATTATTACAAAAATAATCTCATTTTATTATAATACTTTCCTAGTTTATGACACTGGTAATATTACACTTGAGCTTCAACAGTCTTTTCTTATATGATTAGATTTTATTATATTAGTTATTCTTCATTTTTTAAAAATAAATTACATTCTCTTCCTTTAGGACCATTTTTAATTTCTCTTTATGGTCTAACACAAAATAACTTAGAATTACAGATTTTCTATTTCTCTGTTTCTTTCTCCAGGTTGTCAGTGGGGCTACTGAATAACTTATGTAGGACAAATCTCTTTCCAGCATTACTTGCTTCCATGGACTGGCGCCTTCCTGTGATAATTATAGTTCAAACTGGACTTAGTATTATTGTTTCCTAATAGAGTACATTCACTACGAGCTATGTTCGTCTCTCAAACAGACTTTTATAAGGTCCAAATAAGAACGTTATTATATTCAATATAGAAATTGTTTTCCTATTTAACATTTCCAAGCCATGACTGTCAAAAGTAATTATATGGGTCTGGTAGAGTTTCCTTTTGAAAAAAAAGTCTCTTCATTGTTTATTAATTTCTTTGATAAATAAAGTGAATAAAAGTATTAAGCACATCACAGAAAATTACTTTTTAACAGAATTGTATTCATTGAAAGTAGAAATTTTCCTATGCTTCTGCATTAGTTATGTCTATAAAAAACCATAAAATTTTACCTTCACTTAAAGATAATAGAGACCATATATTTAGAGGTGAGTTCAGAAAATAGTACTAACTTTGCAAAAACATATCATGGGGAGAAAAATGGAGTATTTTTCCATTTATTTGTGTCGTCTCTGTTTTTTTTTTTTTTTTTTCAGCAGTGTTTTGTCATTCTCATGGAGGTCTTTTACCTCCTTAGATGGATTCCCAGGTAGTTCCTTTTTTCTGTGTGGCTGCTTTAAATGGGATTGTGTTGTTGATTTGATTCTTGGCTAGAAAACTATTGGTGGATAGAAATGCTACTAAATTTTGTACATTGATTTTGTATCCTAAAACTTTACTGAAGTCATTTATTAGTTCTAGAATTCTTTCATTGAAGTCTTTAGGGTTTTCTAGGTACAGAATTATATCATCAGCAAAGAGAGATAACTTGACTTCATCTTTCCCTATATGAATATCTTTTCTTTCTTTCTTTTGCCTGATTCCTCTGAGTAGGACTTCCAGCGCGATGCTGAATAAAGGTGTTGACAGTAGGCATCCTTGTTTTGTTCCAGTTCTCAAGGAGAATGGCCCAGCTTTGGCCCAGTCCGTATTATGTTGGCTGTGGGTTTGTCATAGGTGGCTCTTATTCTTTTGAGGTATATTTCTTTGATACCTCTTTTTCTGTTTCTGTTGAGGTGATCATATGACTTTTTGTTTTGATTCTGTTTATGTGGTGAATCACATTTATTGATTTGCATTTGTTGAACCAACCCTATATCCCAGGAATAAAGCCTACTTTATTGTGGTAAATTAACTTTTTAATGTGCTGCTAGATTCAGTTTTCTAGTACTTTCTTAAGAATTCATTCTACCAAAAAGACACATGCACCTGTATGTTCATCAAAGCACCATTTCTAATAACAAAGACATGTAACAAAACCAGATGCCCATCAGCAGTGAGTTGGATAAAGAAAATGTGGCACATATATGCCAAGGAATACTACTCAGCCATAAAAAAGAACAAAATCATGTTCCTTGCAGCAATATGCATAGAACTGGAGGCCATTATCCTAAGTGAATTAATGCGGGAACAGAAAACCAAATACTGCATGCTATCACTTGTAGGTGATAGCTAAATACTGAGTATGCATGGACACAAAGATGGAAACAACAAACAATGTGTACTAGTCATGGGGTGTGTGCTGAAAAACTCCCTATTGGGTACTATGCTCATTACGTGGGTAATGTGATATCCATACCACAAACTTCAGCATCACACAATATGCCCACATAACAACCCTGCACATGGACCCCTGAATCCAAAGTAAAAAAAAAAAAATCATACGTGTTCTTTAGAAATAAATCTCGTTAGCAAGGTAAACATGTATTAAAAATAGAAATAATGATTCTCATGCACTCTACTCCAATGGTGTGATGTACCCAAAATTGAGTCATAGTAAGGAAAGTTGCACAATTACCAAGACAAGAATTCTGCGGAGATTATTTCATTCCCCACACTAATAACAGGCGATCTTTTTATCACTAACAACATGGCATGGAAGAGGCAAGGCCAAGGCACTGAAGGCCTTTGCATTTTGGAGGACAATGTGCTATATGTTTATGTGTGTGTGTGTGTGTGTGTGTGTGTGTGTGAATTCTACACTAATCTTTAAAGAATGTGTACCTGTTTCTCCTGGATATAGAGAAAATAGAGTATTTTCAGTATAGTATTTTGATTAAAATCAATATGAGTCTATACTGAGATCATTGAGGAGATGCCTCATTTGCCTACCATAATAGTTGAACTCTAGAATAGAAAAGAGAACATGATATAATGTGAGAGTATAAAAACCCATTCCTCTTGGGTTCTGAGATTGTCAGAAAAGCAAACCTTTCAGAAAAGCACACCAATTTCCTTTTTATGTGCATTTATCTAGAGATTGGTTGCATGCCAGAAACCATAGAAGTCTAATGGCGGGGAGATTTGTTTTTTATTTGCATTTGGGATCTTGAGAGGAAGATGCCTCACCATTTGCCCCATACCCACTTGGGGAACAGCCACAGAAAAGCAGAGAAACATGGTCAGGCAAGAGGAGCCCTAATATTTAGCTTTTCCAGACTCTACTTGGTCCTCATGAAGAATTGTGACTGAGGAGGGAGCTTGACCTGGGGGCCATCCTGAAGGCTCCACCTGGGTGAATTCCTCAGTCAGTTGGGTGATAGGGGATATGACAGGGAGAGAGGAGGGAGGCCATACCAGAGAGGGCTGAGATGGAGCCAGTTCAACAGGAGAAGTGCTAAGCAAAGAGAAGGAAGTTCACCTTTCAGCATCAAAACCCAGCTGTACCCAGTGACAAAATGGACTTCACTGCTACACAGCCTAGCAAACCCTCACCAGTGCGCACCTGAAGGTCCACCCTCTTTGCTCCCCGGTGCCGAGTTCCTATTAGCCATACAATTCCCCACGTTAGGGAGAGAAACAGGGAAGAAGTGAAGACTCAGTGAATGCCAAAGCCTTTTACAATGAGACATTAATTTATCGGATAAAAGTCATCTTTATTCAGTAATCAATTAGTAAGATTTCATTTTTTTTATGACTAATCAATGGCCGGTGGGGGAGGGATGAATAAAACCAGTATGTTATTGACTGAGCTAAGTTTTACGAGTTGCCTTCAGTTGAAAATAGCTATGAAAAATTATGTGTCTTTTTGTTCAAAATAACATTTTACCTTAAAAACTAAACTTAAATATGAAGCAATAAACTATAATGTATACAAAAATTTTAAAGAAATATTCGCATAACTACAATTTTCTAATTTATTCCTATCATTCAAGGGGAAACCACGGCTTTGTTTTGGCCTGATTTCTACCTAGATACTACTTTGTAATGCTGATGCCCTTCTACGATTTTACTGTAGAAATGTCTATCCAGGCAAAAGGCAAAAGTCCTTTCAGTTTCTCAGCCATGCTTATAGCATTGTCTTAGCTTCAATCACAGGTTATCTGTTACTTTAAAATAAATATTTGCATTATTTAGTGTGCAAATCTTAGTTCGATCTTTCAGTCTCTTTAGAATACAAAACACTGATTCATCTGCTCACTTCTGTTTTATTCAAGGAATTAGAAATCATCTATAAAATTATATAAGAAATGTATTGTTACAGCTCTAGAATGATCTAGAATGATTTATTTTTGTTAATACAGTCTGCCATCCCACCACGTAGACAAAAAACACATATATAAAAGTTTACCAATTACTTAAACAAACCAGTGCTTTTACTTAAAGGCAATGGTTCTCTTATTAAAGACCCAGCAACTTGTATGGTTTTCATCTTACTTTTTCTTGCAGATCTTATAACTTTAAGATTTTATGTAAGGAGTATTCTAAAAGCTCCTTTTGACATTCAAAATATTTACACATCTTAGAATCAAAGTTGTTTTTAAATGATATCTAAATATCATTTAAATCCTTTGCCAGAGTATGCAGTATCTGCTAGACAAAAATTAGTAGAAGTGAAGAAGCCCATTAATTTGTGTATTAGTGTCTGTAAATTTTTTCACTAATATTTTCAGTTAATTAAAATAATTTGACTGATATTTAGGAAAATATAAAAGAAGAAAAGGATATATAATGTCCTTATTTAAGGCCCTAATCTTTAATTAAGCATATTTTGTGAAATAATTACCAGTTTTGTAAGTGCCCGAGTTCAGTCTCTAAATTTTCATTTCTTTCTTTCTGTTCATCCAGAGACCTCTGGAGCTTACGAATCTGATTCAGGGAATCATCAAGCTGAAAGCAAAGTAGAAAATGCTTTAGTTAGGCTCATATTTCTATAGTCTATCATGGTGGCTACAGTAAATAACATCTTATCATATACTTAAAACTTGCTAAGAGAATAGATGGTAAGTATTCTCACCACAAAACTATAAGTGAGATATTGCATATATTAAGTAGCTTGATTAGCTATTCTACAATATACACACATAGCAAAACATCATGTTGTATATCATAAATATGTACAACTTTTACTTGTCAATTTAAAAATAAAAGTTAAATTAAAAAAATAATGACGCATTATATATAGGACATAGTTTTCTATCTCCACCTGAATAAGAAATGCCCTTAATGAAAAAAAAAGTTGAAATAAAATAACCCTTTAAAAACGAGGTATATTTTTGTGTGACAGTAACTTATCAGTAGTGTATGTGTGAGTTTCTTTTGTATATGTGCATGAATAAAAATATCCATTTATTTTAATAAGAGTCAATGTACATATCCAATAAAACAAACCTCAAAATGAGCTCTGAAATATTTGACAAAATCTTTTCCATGTAGCCACTCTTCCCTATTTCCACCCTTGCCTCCCCTAGCTATAAGTCACTGAAGTATAACTTGTTTTTTGTTCCCATGGCTTTGAAAAAAAATACATGTGTGTATACATATTCACATATTCATATTCTAAGTACACATATATATGTGAAATACATTTTTATATATTATTGAAAATACATTATTTTCTTTTAATTGCTTTAATTAAAAATGTATATCATGCTGTATATAATAATCTTCCTTTTAAAATCCAATGGCTAAGACTCATCTGTAGTAGAGATATCTCATCTGTGCTCTATTTATTCTCCCTGTTTTGTATTATAGGACTGGATTAATGTTCAATACAGATGCAATTTTAAAAAATATTTTTGATTTGTGGTTAGTTGGTTGATTCCACAATGGATATGGAGGACCAACTGTATAGATACACAGTAATGAACCACATAATGACTTTAATAATGGGTGCATATAAGGTAGTGGTCCCATAAGATTGTAACAGAGCTATATAATGGAGTAGGCTATACCATCTATACCATCTAACTCTACGACATTCACACAAAGACAAAATTACCTAATGATTCAGATTATATTCCTATTGTTGACACGCACACACATGCACACACACACACACACACACACACATAACAGATGACAGATAGATATAGATGTGATTCATCTGTGAAAAATTTTCTCTAGAGACATGCCTAGGAGTAGAAACACCAGATAACACTTTTTGTAATACTAAATTTCACAAGATAATACCAAAATATCTCCCAAAATTGTTTACTAATTTAACTAAATAAAACAATTAGAAAGGATCTAGTTTAATCACATTTTCATTAACACAATGTGACATTTGAAATCCCTGATCAACAATTATGTATAATATGTCTTTATATTTTTATTAGATTAATATTTTATTTTGTGTGTTTATTCAGGCCTCTTGCTCATTATTCTATTTTGACATTTGTCCATTTCTTTTTTTCTACATATATTAATGTTATAATGTTAATACTATTCCTTTGCCAGTCATAAGTGTCCCAAGTATTTTTGTCAGGTTTACAATTTTTTTTTTATTTAAGAGATCTTTGCTTTAATCACAGTTATTTTTATTAAATTATGAAATCTATCAATATTTTCTCCTACAGTTGGGATTTGTACTCCAACTTTAGAAAAATATTGTTCCGTATGTTCACTATTTGTTCATGTTCTACACTTATTTATATTTTTGATCAAGTTGATGTTAATTTTACACATGACATGAGGTAGAAATTCAATTTTATTTTTTTCATATACAAACACATTTTGAAAGGTACATAAGTGCAAATATTGAACAGACTTTTCTCAATTGATCTGATATATCAAATCTGTCATATGTCAAAACTCCATATATTTGATGTACAAAGTTTCTTTCATAAAGTCCGATAGCAGACTCTTTTTTGGATAATTTATTTGGTCCGGCACATTGTCTGAATTACTACGGTCTTTTGACATACAATAGTATAAGCTCCCTTTTCCCAGTCGCTTTTCATCAGAAATACCTTGACTATCCTTGAAATTTATATGCTTTATAAATTTCAAAAACAGCATAGCAAATTTCACGAGAATTATATTTTTGTTTAACCTGGACATTCATCAATTCTATGGGATAATTTAAGTATATTTGACATTATTTCAATATTTAATGTTTTTGCCCAATACCCAGAGTATTTTAAATTTTACTTATGTCATCTTTAAAGTTTCTCAACTCAATATCATAATTTTCTCAGAAGCTTTGGAAAGTGTCTTCTTAGGAGTTTACATTTTATTAAATTTAGTTTTAGGAATTTTATATCTTACAGTATTAAAAGTAATATTTTGAAATTATTTTTCCAAAAAATGAAATAAAATAGTTTAGAAGTTTTGTTGTATGTGTATAGTAAGTAAATTGTCTTATCAGGCCAGGAAAAGGGGCTCACATCTGTAATCTCAGCACTTTGGGAAGCTGAGGCAGAAGGGTTACTTGAGGCCAGAAGTTCAAGACCAGTCTGGACAATGTAGTAAGACCCCATTTTTAAAAAGAAACATTAAAAATAGCCAGGCCTGGTGGCACTTGCCTGTAGTCTCAGCTACTGGGTAGGCTGAGGCATGAAAATGGCTTGGGACCCTGAGTTCAGGATTATGGTGAGCTATAATTTTAGCACTGTATACCAGCCTGAGCCACAGAGCAAGATCCTGTCTCTAAAATAAGTAAATAAATAGTCTTATTAACTGAACATTTATTTTACTAAAACTTAACATCCAGCTAAACATTCTTTGGTTTTCTAAAAATTAGTCTTTCTTTTCCTGATTGGAATAAGGTAATTATTTTAAAATAAGCTCAATTTTATTTTGAAATATATCTTTAAGCTTTGAAATCAATTAGGGTTCATACTACAGTTTTCCCATGTGTGTCTTACAGCAAATTTCATATCCACAGAGAGTCTAATATCCTCAATCTTTAAAATGGTTGTACTTATAGACTTGCTATGAAGATGAAAATAGATAATACTTACAGATTGCATTATGTGGTACTAGATATGAAGTATTTAGCATATGTTATCTAATCTAAACTTGGTTTATTAGAAGGACAGTGAAAATTAATGTGAAATGTAATCACTGGTACTGCTATTATAAGTGATTCTTGGCTACACAGTGAAGGAACTATCATGACTAGGAAAGTTAACACTATGAGCACTTAATATCTAAAGTGCGGAAGTCATCTTAAAAGCAGAATATCTCACAAGGCAAAAATAGAAAAAGCAACACTTAATCTAAGGTGATGAGTAAAATGAAGTAGAAATGATAGATTCAGAAGGTTTCAGAACTTTTCAACAAGGGTGATAAGCATGAGTATCTCATCTTACTGAAGTGCTATTTTGTTCTATATGCTAACAAAATGAAATTATATGCAAACATTGTGAGTTGAATTAGCACGAATCTGTCTGTAATTTGCTCCTTCATCTCTTGGCTCATAGACAATATCAAGGTTTTAGAGATGCAAATTTAAGGCCAGGCGAGGTGGCTCACGCTTGTAATCTCAACGTTTTGGGAGGCCAAGGTTGGCAGATCTCTTGAGGTCAGGAGTTTGAGACCAGCCTAGCCAATATAGTGAAACCCTGTCTCTACTAAAAATACAAAAATTAGCCGGGCATGGTGGCAGGCACCTTAATCCCAGCTACTCTGGAAGCTGAGGCAGGAGAATCACCTGAACCTAGGAGGTGGAGGTTGCAGTGAGCAGAGATTGAGCCACTACTCTCCAGCCTGGGCAACAAAGTAAGACTCTCTAAGAAAACAAAAAGAAAGAAAAGAAAGAAATGCAATGCAGTGCAAATTTAAGCAAATGGACCCTGACATACTCTGAAAAAGCTGAGAGTTCCTGGCTTTGAACTGCTCTTTTTAGGAAAAGAAATCAACAACAAAAAGTACCTTCCTCAAGTACTATTAATTGTGTTTTTTCCAGGTTAACCAATCAAATATATTAAGAAGTGTTTTAGTTGCTAAGTGGCCAAGTTGTTTTCTTTTTAGTCTTACTGGGGCTTCCATGGGGTAGGTTTGTATGGTTTTAATCTCTTCCCTTTCTCACAGTAATTTCCTGCAACTTTATTGTTCCAATTGAATGCTTCACAATTTTAGGGAAACTTCTACCCGTGTGCAGCTTCGAGACAAAATATCTTGCTTTTCTCTTGAAGTAGATTGCTGACCCTCAGCACTATAGAGTAATTTTAGTATTTATTCAAATTGCAAGAAAAATCAATCCTCTATATACGAAGCCAAACCACTGGTAAAGATGAACCAGATCCCAACTGACTGATCTCTATACTAGCGTTATTAAAACGAAATCAATTTAAATGTTAGAAAGCTTTAAGTGGTTACTCTTTCCAAGGGATGTGGGGGAGGGAAGATTTTTTTTTTTTAGTACCCTCACGGAGAAATGTTATTCTGTAAACTCTTCTCATCAATTATTTATGCTTACAGAATGAACATTTTGTTAATGTACTTCATATTGAACTCCCAAACAGTATTTAGTCTTATTTCTGAATTTCTAATATTTAGACATTTTCGGTAATACCCACATTTTGTTGAGATCTATGATTCCCAATTCGTAGAGATAGCACAAGTTCACTTTCTTACCATATAATTTTTCCCTTATTAAACTCCCACTTCTTTGTTGATTTCACTTTTCTGAGTTTCCATTTTCTACACCTAAACTTTGAATTAGAAAATGTTTACAGATATTTTACATTCCTCCAGTTCTAGTTTTTTTCTGTCTTTGTTAACATAACATGTATTTTTAATGTATTATGTTCCTAGTACATTTTAATCTTTATATTTTACCTGGTTAGTTATTCAAATCAGTTGACAAGTAATGTTGTACATTTTATTAATTTTACAAAAGTATTTACTAGAATATGATTATATCCAATAATTACTTAAAAGTT